TTGTCCCGGAATATAGCACCAGAGTACAAGCTTGATTGGGGTCAAATTAGACTAGGCTAAAATGTCTAAACTATTTTTCTTGGTCGATCCCACACAAACTTTAGGTGGTCTATTCACTTAATAGTATGGTTCCGATATGACACCTCTTTTGATGCTCACCAGGATTCATGCCTGACCTGGTACTTTTTCTATATACCGGTATATATTTTAAAGGAAAGGAAGCATGTTTTAGATGCTATTGGGAGTTTTTTATATTCCTATTGGGAAATCATTTTCTTAAGGCCAATGGCTGAGGCCCACAGCTTTGTTTGAAAGTATGCCCATCTGTCTAATAAAAAGACAAAAACAAACCGAACTGGTAAGACAGCTTCAGTTAAAGCAGTGCTGGCTGGGGGATTCTGGGAGTTGACGTCCACAGGACTTAAAGTCACCAAGGTTGAGAAACACTGAGTTAAAGGAAGCAAGAAGGTGTAAGAGCTGCTTTACTATTTTGTGCTTGAGTACATTATCCTTGCTAGTCATTATGTGAGAATGCCCAGGATAATCTGTTAAACTTTCAAATCTAGTCCATAATAAAAAAAAAACCTGCAGAATTTAATAAAAGGGAATTATTTTATTCCAGTGAAACTGGTGTCAGTTAAATTAAATATTATTTCTGTGGAATAGTTGATAACTATAAATACCTACCGGATAACTCATCACATCATCAGTTAATCTAAAAGGATTATCTTCAAATTGGCATATATAAAAGATATGGGTGAATCTTAAAGCCACTCACACAGGTCAAACACCAGCTTGGCACCCTCTTTTAATATGCTGTACTTTGCATACCATTACAGGTTAAAACTAGCATTTAAAATGGGTGTGGTAATGGACTGGAAGCTACTACAGTTGATGAAGTATAGACCTGATATAGTAGAAATTGCTCAGTTCAAGTTAGTAATCTAAATAACCTATTTTGGACCATATGTCTTGTAATGTAATAGTCTAAACCAAAGAATGTCACAACTGATATCTGTACTAAAAGTAATAAAGGGCACAAAGTCACTACCAGTATATGGTCAGGAAATCATGCAGCTGGGATCATTTCCACACATGAGCATAAGGATACAAATTAACAAGTTCACTAGATAGAGGAACATTAATGCTACAAATTATAGCAAGTGAAAAGATATATCTTTTCTATTTTAATTTTGTACTTATTAAGAAGGCATACAAGTGATTTCCATAAAGAAAGGAAGAAAGCACTTTTCAAAGGAATTAAGGCATAATGAAAAATAGATAAGTAGAATAGGACAGCAAATTGCAATAAGATGCATTTATTCATTTTTATACAGCAAGAACCATTGCGGGTAGCTAATTATGTATTCCAAAAATCATTTCCAAACAAATACTAAGAAGCTAATTACAAAGAAAATGAAAAGTACAATTTCAGTTTATCTTGTCACAGTTCATTCTGTCCAAACAGAAGGGGGAAATTTTATGCTCGAATATTGAAAGTGTCATTGTATGTCATAACAGCTGTTCAGAAAAAAACTTTAGACAAAGGATGAATAGGCCCTGGCCTAAGGCACCAAAGCTTAGGAAGCAGCAATGTTGTTTCTCCTACCAAATCATTTCAAAAATTCTAATGTAGCTGCATGCTTGTGTGTGCATACTGCCAAAGCATCATTCAATTTTCTGTTTTATTTTACTTTTGTTCTCCTACTTTCTACCTGGGAGCACATCCATACTAACGCCAAATAAATGAAAGTTTGATTATTCCTGTGTAGAGTGCACATATTTCTCAATAGTAACAGGAAGCTCACCTTTAGGTATGATCAATATAACTCAGTAGGTGACAATTGCAGCAATTTTGCATAATAGTCTATGCTTTATATGAACCTTGGAGATCAATGAAACTGCAATTAAAACTATAATGTACTACTGTACATTAATTCCATAAATGACAAAAAGCATGAATTAGTCCTAACAATAGAGAAAATACTTCAAAAGGCAAGCATAAACAAAGCTAGGAGCTTGTTTTCAGATAATTACACTATAATTACAAAATCATAATTGCAGAAGTAATAAAAGCATCAAAGTCTGGATTCATTTATACCAGTTCACACATGTGTTAGTTTCACTCTTTATTTATTTCACCTTACTTATCTTTTTCTTCCCTTCAGTTTCAAAATTAAATAAAGTCAATCAAGGAATGACAAAACTTTAATGTCAGTTCATTTCACTGGCAGGGTTCAGACATAGTAGTATGCATAACCTGTTGTTACCTGTTTGGGTTGCACATTTCCATCTTCCTATCACACCTTAAAAAATATTTTAAAGTCCTAACAATGGATTGCAGGCTGTTGTGTGCAAATCTGAAAAATGACGACCTCTTAAAGATCCAAAACAAAAACCTAACTACTTTGAACTAGCATTTTGTGCAATGTTTTGATTTGTGCAAAATAAATGGTTAATGGCTAGCCAGAAAAGCTTGCAATCAGTTTGCTGTTGAGTAAACCTACTTGATCTGATTTTACATATCTTACAGACATATGATATATATGATAAATCATATTACAAATATGATTTTACATATCTTACAGACTGCTCCAACTGTAATGAGTGGCATACAATTCCCTCACCATAACCATAACCCTTGTGTGACCCACACCCAAGGAAGAGCATTACTTAGAAATTAATACTCTCTGCCAATCTTCAAAGATACAAGAGTTGGGTAATTTCAACATGGGACACTTCTGGCATATCCTCTCTTCTCCCTTTTTATCTTCCACCACACTCCCAACCCAAGAGGAACAGAAAGTGAGTGAAACAAAACCTTTCTTCTCCTATAACTTTAATAGCTCCAACCTCCATAGAATTTTAATTTCCTCTCCCCGTTACAAAAAAAATGGAATCATTAGCCATCCATCCAGCCATGACTAAATCTAGAAAGACCGAACAGTCTACAGCCATCTGAATCATTTGAAACCTAAGTACTCCCAAGTGGTTCATGAAAGATCAGTCTCACAAGTGTGCAAACATGTTTTCATGTCCAAATGTGGCTCATGTAGCCAGAATCAGTGGAGGGTCACCAGGACAATGATTGCTGTTGAAATTCATGATTGCAGACATCTAACATCAGTCTTGGTATCTCCTGTCCAGTGACAATGGCCTTCTGTATTTTTTTTTAAAGCTGGGTGAAGCTTACTTTAGGACTTACCTGAGGGTTTCAATCTATTGCATGCCACAAAATAACAGCATATTAAAACACAGCAGCATAACAGTCTCATGGACGATTGATTTTGTATATGGCAGCTGTAGCAAGACTGCTATATGCACAAAGATGGAAATATTCTGAAATATCCACCATGAAGGAATAGTTAATAAAGATGGTAGTGTTTGCCAAAATGCAAAATGAACTTCTTGATTGAGAAGATAACAAGTACATTTATTAGTGATTGGAAATCCTTTATGGACTTCTTGCTGAAAATGGAAAAAATGAACTGGTGACTTATAGATTTGATGAGTCAGATATTGGAAGGGAATTATGATATAACCTTAAAAGAGGGAAGATAGAGGACAAATATATTTTTAACTGCTATAAAGATCAGAAACAGATTCTTTATATACTTTCTCTGTTTCTTTCTTCTTTTAATTACTTTTTCTGTTTATTCATTTGTTCTGGATTTTTATTTATTATTTTTCTTTAAATCTGTACGGTTTTATTACTGTACAAAATTCTTTAATAAAAAATTAAAGTCAACTCAGCAATATGGTCAGGGAGCAGAAAAGATGGGGGCATAGGCAGTTCACCCTCATATTAATAAAGAGACAGGATAGTATCTTTTATCTTATGGTAGTTACTACAGCTGTTTATGTTGACGGCAGCTATGATGGCTAGCGGGAGAGATCTCTCTCTTGATATGTGAAGTAATAATCTAACTTCCTGGGCAAACTTAAGTAAAGGAGTCATCATTCCTTTCAAAGCCAATTTTTTTACTACAGGAAGCAGGACGCAAGAGACATGATATGGAAACCAGTTTTGGAAATTTGTGTGTAATTTGGCTAGGAAATATATACTGTTTTTAGAGTAATTGTTTTGTGTCCCATTCATAGAACACAAGAGGAAGGAGGCAGAAAAAATAAAACCTCGGTTCATAAAACAACTATAAAGGAGATACACTGAGCAAACTCCCTATACTCTTTCCATAGAATAGTAAGGCAAACACGAGCTTCTTTAACCCGAAATAAACGCAGAACATTTTATTTAATTCGTAAGTTACAGCTGCATCAGGGGGAATATCCCGAACCGAAACCGACCCGAGTCAAATTAAGGCTGAAAGGGTCCAGTTGTTGGATTTTAAGTGATGAGTCACTATAAAGTACCGTCGCCCCCCTCCCTGCACAATCCCAAAAAAGGACCATTTAAGGAAGGACTTCTGCCATCCCTTAAACCCAATAAGCTTAGCCGCTTCAGCGCCTGGGATCTGAGCCTGGAAAGGGATCGCCTGGAAAGCGCCCTGGGAAGGTCGGGAGGAGAGAGGAAAACGGGAAGAGGATCCGTTGGGCAGCCACGATTTACCTAAGGCAGGGCGCATGCTTCCGCCCTCCTCCACATCGCCCATAGCTATCAACATTGCATCATGCAACACGCTTCTCTCGCAAAATGGACTCCCAGCCTGGCATGTGGCTAGGCGCCGAAGTACACGTCGATCGGTCCCAACCGCTCGGGGGAAAACTGCTTGGAAGAGTATCTGTCTTTACGACCCACCGCCAGGCTCACGGGAGAAAGCGGAGCGGGGCCCCCGCAGCGTGGTCGCGGCTTTCTCTTTAGCGTGGTCTGGCTTCTTCTTTTCCCCCCCTTCCTCTCCTCCCGCTCCCCGACCCGCGATCTCTCATTCAGGGCATCTCACAGCCAGGCTGGAAAGCCATCCCCACTCGGGAGATGGCAGAGGAGAAAGGAAGGGCAGAGCAAAGGTGGGGGGGACCTTGCCAGGGCGCCATCGGCTACTCACCTAAGCTTGTCTGCCGGGGATGTTTCTACTACAGCCGGTTTAAAAGAGAGAAGAAAAAGGGGGAAAAGAAAAGGGACCGCTGGAGAGGAGCCGGAGTTGTGAAACGAAGCGGGACCTGCCGGGGTGGCAGCGCCGGGTGGAAAGGGAAAAAAAGGCTCACAGAGGACACGCTTACAAACCGCTCCCGCTGCTTATAGTGACTCCTCCCTCTCGGCTGTCGTGAATGAAAGGAGGGGAGAGCAATTATAACAACACAGGCACATACACACACAAAAAGAAGCTGCCTAGGGGTTGGGGAGGGCGGGGAGAGAGATTGAAAAAAAAAGGGCGCAGAGGGGATGGTTGCTCGTAACAACCCCTCAGTTCCGTCCTCCCTCTTTCCCCACCCCCGGCTTTTTTTCCCCCCCGTCGCGGGGAAAGACAAAAGCGTCGGGCGGTCGTGGAAAAAACTGAAGGAGCCGCGCGTGCCGGGGGAAACCCCCCCCGCCTCAACGGCCGAGTGTCGCCCCGGGGGCGCGCCCACGCGGCTACAAACCCCGGGTGGGGCTCCGACACGCGCGACAGCTGCCACCAATTCCCGCCTAAAGGTGTGGCTGTGGGCAAGGCCAGGAGAGCACCCGGCTGTCCTTGGGCCTCCCTCCCTCGCTCGCTCGCTCGCACGCGCTGGCAATTGTCTCTCCTTAAAGGCGCGGCGGAAGCCACTTCAAAAGCCGAGCGCCTTTTCCCTCTTTAATTCTCGAGCGGCGTAATTTGGAGAGCTTCCGATGAGGCCGGGCTTTCTCCGTGGTGAGAAAGAACAGCTGGATGGGGGGTTGGGGGGGAAAAAACGGCGTTAAGTTTTCTCCCAGCCCGGAGTTCTCCCAATTGTTTCGGAATTCAACTCCCATAATCCCCGCCGAGGCAAAGGCAGGATTCCGTGCATCTCCACTTCTTACGACCCCAAACCTTGAATGTTTTGTCCATTCGTTTGAGCAAAGGAAAATCCTTTAAAATATATTCCGATGTGCTCCTTTTCATGTACCCAAACTGGAGGGCACTCCTAATTTATTAATTTTTAAAAAATCTTTTGAACGGCTCTTCTGTAAGTATGAGTGTGCATTTCACTGACCTATGTCTAACTGAATTAGAGTTTACTAAATGATTTAGGTAGTTATCTGGGATCACGGAAACAAATCCAGACAAAGGGTATGGAGTCATAATAAAATTAAAAATCTGGGGAAAAATGGCAAATTAATAAAGGGCAACAAGTTAATTCCTTAATCTATAATAATCACTTTTCGGAGGAAATCCCTTTTAAGTTCAATGGAACATATTTCGAGATGCAGAGGTAAAGCAGGAACAAGAACATGTTAAAACAGGAACAAAACTCCTTGTAATGTAAAAGTTGAATTTCAACGTTTGGCAGGTGCTCTGTAGAGCACAAAACATTTCTATCAACGTCTGGATCTGACATAACAAAGGTTCAGGTGGCACTTGAAAGATGTAACAAACTGTTTTGGGTGCTGCATGTTTTTGTGTTTTTCTCGGTATGCTGCTGTTGTGTTTTTTCCTGGTAGTGTACGCAGAGAAAAAGCTTCAGTCCAAAGAGCTACGGTATTTCAAACGAGAACCGCTGTGCACTCAGAATGTAAACATGGTTAAATTGTATGGATGGTGTACTCAGATTTCACTTACAGACCTAGAAAGTTTCTTTTTAGCTTCTTTTAGCTTAATTTAAGTGTTGTTGTTGTTGTTTTAAAAAAAAACTTTCATATTGCTTGAATGCAGTCAGGCTAGCAAGGAAGTGCATGGCAATCCTCTGTCTGGATTGCATCACTTACTTAGCAGTGTTTCCCGAATGCAGTGAAGGCTTTCACAGCTAAGTATGGCCATTTAGCACCAACTCTGTTAATGTAGATGGCATGCATTAAAACTGGCCTGTGCAGAATAATCCTATAAGAATACCATATGTATCACTGTCTACATGGAATATTATTTCACTTGGAATTATCACCCACATTCTATAATTACAATTATCATAGGTTTATTAGCCACCCAACCCCAATGGAGGTTTTTTGGGGGGGAGGGGTAGATGGGGAAGATTTTTTAAAAAACATCAATTGAAGTAAGTATCAGGATGTTTGGAAGATTTTTGTGCTAAAATATTAATGAATTCATATTCAGCAGAATGTTTTAGCAAGGCAACCTTCCATTCCACTTATTTTGGGAAAATAAACACAAACGGTGAAATAATGCAAAATGGATAAGGTTGCGGCATACCTAGGGACAGACCAAAATTTTCTGGATTTTGTTGGCAGAATTTATTTTTAACCACATCAAACCAATTTTATGGCATATGTCCCATTTTGGGTTGTTTCTTATTTGTAGAAAATCATGCCACCAGTTATTAACAACTAATCAGAGAGGAACAATTTCTTGGTGAGACAAGCAGCTACATAAATATTGTAAATAAACAAAAAATGTGGGTTTATAGACCTCAGGTGATCCACCACCCCCCATTTTATTTGTGATTCAAGGAGGGTATTTTATTCTTATAAAGCTGCTTCTGTATGAATTTGCTATTCAGCCTAAACTTTGGTGGAAGAGCTTTCAGAAAGAAGAGAACTTCACAGAGCTTCAGTCTCACCTATATACCAATTTCATCATTTATCATTTAAATATTTACTTAATATTGTAGGAAATTAAAACCCACCCTTCTCCTAGAAAAATGAAATATCATGGGAAACATTGAGAAGGCAGAATATTATATTTCCCTGAATAAGAAATGAAGAAACATGTTTTTAGGCAGGAAACAGATTCACCCTCACCTTTGCCAATGGGCCATTAAAAGGCCCAAGCCAATCTATTCTACATAACAAAGATTTCCCCCTTCAGCTCCGGGTGATGGGATTAAGGCATGATAGTATTAACTCTTTACTCATCTCACCACAGGGCACCTGGGAAGAAGCAATGCACAACCAAACTTGGACTCAAAACACATCCTACAGAGTTCCCCCTGCATGGCTCCATGGGAGTCTGACAACCAATCAGAATACAAGCTCAAGATCAAAGGCCAGAGAGGAAATAAAACCAGGGACTTTCAGCATCTCAGTCTCTTATTCACCCAACATCTGGAAGCATGTGATCACCTTTTCCCACAGGACCTCAAACCATGTGGCCCTCTCCACCATTAAAACATCTTTCCAATCAGCCTCTATGTTTCCAATGTCTTTTTTCCCCACTTGGAACTGAACCCAGAAGGACATTTCTTCCAACAATATAATTTATCCTTCAGAAGAATCCTGGACAATGAGCTACTACAAATACTTTTGGTCATCTACATCTGCATTTTCCACATCAGAAACTTGGACAATAGCAACAAGAAGGAAAGATGGCTTGCTTAGTGATATCCAGATTCCCATGGAAGATTCTTTTCAGATAATTCTATGTGGTACCCACATTAGAGTATTTTAATTTTCCAAATATAATTATTCTATTCTGAAATTTTAAAAGATGCCATCTTCTTGTGGTTTGCATATTTCAATTCCACTGGATTTTTAATTACATGTTTTATAGTTTTAGAAGCTGAAACTTTCAGTAGTTTGGTGTGTGTGTATGTGTGTGTATTGAATGTAATTGTAGATTCATGTTTTTGTGTTTGTAGTGTGGGAAGTTATCACCCAGCCCTCTCCCAGAAAAATGAAATATCCTAGGAAATATTGAAAAGGCAGAATATTTCTCTGGATGTGAAAAGAAAGAAACATGTTTTAAAAGACAGAATAGCTGCCTGTAGCTTCTTGCCCATCCCCACCTTGTTAATGGGCCATTAAGAAGGCCAAGCTAGTCCCTTTTACATAATAAAGACTTCTCCACTGCAGCTACAGGAAAGCACGATACTGCCCCAACTGACAACATA